GCATTATAAGTTAGCTTTTTAGGAGTTTCACCATTTTTCTGTTGGTAACAGAACATGTCATTACCTTCATCTACCCCAGGATTGGTTGTAAATCTGAGGGTGATGGAGACCAATAAACTTCTTTTGATGAAATAATATATACTATGTTTGTTGACTCCAGAAACACCAACAGTGACATCTGGAGGAGGTTCCCCACATGTTTTGTTTTTTTGATTTTTTTTTTTAAATGTGCATTACACGTGTGGCATGCCACTATACTGTGGAGAACAACAGTCACTTATGGGGAAAAACGCTCGTCCCAAACGAGTTTAAAGGCATTTGAGTCTCAAAAAGTGGTTTTAGTGTCAGGGTTACAGTTAGGTTATAGTTAGGCATTCACTTTTGATGGTTAAGGTTATAGTAAGCAGTTAGGAAAAGCATTATGTCAATTAGATATCCTCACTAAGATATGAAAACCAGTGTATTTCTTTGAGTGTGTGTACTCAGTCAACTGTATCAGTCTCTGCACTTGAGAGAGGTTTTTGTATGATGGTTTTTCACTGTGTGAACACATACTGACTGTTAATGTAGTGATCACTCTGACAGTAATAAACTGCTGCATCTTCAGCCTGGACTCCACTGATGGTCAGAGTGAAGTCAGAGTTTGATCCACTGCCTGTAAAACGAGCTGGAATCCCTGATTGTCGAGTGCTAGCATACTTAATGAGCAGTTTAGGAACTCCTCCATCTTTCTGTTGGTACCAGGATAAAAGATGGTTGTTGCTCCAAACACGAACATTCTGACTGGTCGTACACTTGATGCTCACAGATGCTCCCACAGCAGAGCTCACTGCTCCAGGCTGAGTCACTGTGATCTGTCCTCTGGACTCTGAGGATACAGAGACAAAAACATAAAGCAGCTTCATGGTTTTGTGGGCTTCATTTCAGAGGGACAGATGTTGATAGAGGAGAGGAGTTTGATTCTCTGGACTTTACCTGTGAAGCAGCAGCAGAGGAGAGTCCAGATGAGGACGCAGATCAAAGTCATGTTTTTGATGAGGAGGATTTCTGTGGCTTCTGTTGTGATGAAGGACAGCTGTCAGTCATCCAGTGTTCAACTCTCAGGACTATAAACTCTCCCAGAGCACTGGAGCATGGTGCTGCTGATGCAAAGTGCCTCTCTATGGAAATGAACTGACTGAAAACAACAAGTAGTTGGATCAAATAGTCGATGCTGTTTATCAGTTAATCAGTCAGTTTATGAAAATGTTTTCTTTCTTGTGTTTTAGGACACATCCACACATTGATGGATGTGTGGGATTTTTAAATTTGGGTATTTTCTGCAATCTTTTACAAAAACATGTTCATTGACTGAGAAAGGCAAGAAAATGTTTCATGATCAAACCAGAGCAGTACTTTGTGATATAACCCCAAGTGTTGCCAAATGCCAACAAAACATGCAAACAATGTCTGAAGATAAAGGCTCAGACATCCATCCTTGTAAGACAAAATCTGATTTCCTCTTGTTCACTTAAAAAAGAAGAAGAAAAGAAATGTTGTACTTGTCTACTCAAACACATGAACAGAGTTTCAGAGAATCTTCACCCTGAAAGAAGTTTTAGAAACTTACCTGTCAGCAAATCAAAGATCCGCTTACATGTATGCAACAGGACAGAATAGAAAAGATTTCCCCCAAAAAAGAACCTGCACATTTGAACATGGCGTCAAAAATGAAAGACATTAAAAAAAATCAGAGGAAAGGTACAATTTGCAAAACCTATTTTAGAGTTTTGTAAAACTCAGTACAAAAAAACTTGCAGTGATTCACATTGATGCATGATGCTGACCACAGGATGCAAAAGTTAAACATGACCACAGCGCAGAATCATTCATCTCTGTTTTAATTTGATATTTTTATAACAGGACAACCTGTGAGGCTGGAAAGACTTCGGTTTCATGCCCTGAACAGGTCACTTTCTGTTTGGTGATGTAGTGTCTGCAGTGTTGGGAAGGTTACTTTTAAAATGTATTCCACTACAGATTACAGATTACATGCCCCAAAATGTATTTTGTAACGTATTCTGAATACTTTGGATTACTTAATATATGATCATGCTTTTTACAACTACGTGAATGTGATTTATTACTGTTACTGAAGGCTACTCGCCGTACCAATAACAACTCGATTTTTACATCTTAATATAAATGAGTAACAGTAGGTGGACATTAGGTAAGGCTGCACTTTTTGCAGTGATCTGCAAACGCATATATAAAACAGGTCCGCAGCTCTGAACCGTAGTAAAGGGACCTCTGGCTAATCCGTCGGGTTCGTGTCGGGCTCGTAGCTGAAAACTAGCTTTACTTTGTTGTCTGGGTCAAGTTTGTAAGAGACAGAGAGAGGCGTTGAAAGGCTGCTCCAGCAGAACTTATTGTTTCGGAGGAAAACACGAACACAGTGTCCAGTCGAGTCTTAATAGCTTACTTACAGCTGGGCTCGTCAGGCTCTCTTCTTGGCTGCTGTGGTTATTATTATATTTACATGCTTCCAGCTCCCGTTTCTGCTCGATGACAGCTCGTACTTTTTCTCCCTCTTCGCGCTCACAGACACATAACAGGTACAGCAGTCCATTCTCCCTGCAGCACGGACTACACTGCCCATCAGGCTGCATTCTTTAGGGCGATGCCTGTAACACTCTGCCTGTTGCCTTCATATTGAATCATTTTTTGAATAATAATTTTTAAATATTTTTTAATATTTCTTCACGTCATAATGCTGGCAGCAAGTAGAGATGACATGGGCCGCAAGATTGAGACACAGACATCAGAGCCTCTTAATGTTTTCTTTGGGTTTCAACCAGCATGGAATTACCATAGAGAGTGCACAGCCTAACATATGAAACAGGAGAAGACGTGTAATCCATTTATTTCAACAAAGTAATTGTAATCTAAATTGATGTGATTAGCAGAGTAATCCAAAGAGTGGAAATGTGCTGGAAATTTCTTTTATTTTATGAATTTGTCACATGTTTTAGTAATATCACTTTTGGGTCACTTCGAGGTTCACATGTGGGGAAGATTCAGCTTTAACTCTATTGCACAAAGTCAGGCATCGTGAGAAAGTTGGTGACACCCAGAGGGGGAGAATTCAACAGGTGGTGAAGTCTTTTGTTAATCAGGTCTTTGAGGATGTGGGGAAGAGGCAAGGAGCAGTCTCTATGTGACACTGGAAGAGGAGATAAAGTTGTAAACTCTCTCCCTCTCTTGGAGGGGTCAAGGGTGTGACAACAGTGTGGAAATGCCTTCTGTTTGACTGTATTTAAAGAGGGTTGCTATTCATCTTTAGAGACACGCATCAGTGCCCCACTGAATGTCGTCTCTCCCTCAACTGCTTGGGAATTAAAAAGGTGTTGGCTCATCGTGTCTGCAGACTTTGTTGATCATATTTCCATGACATTATTCTGCAGTGACAAAGTGAGATATGTCACAACAAAGGAGCGAAAACTGAAAAAGTGTTTGTTTACATTCTTGAGTTAACACCGAATACAAAAGCTTCAGTGCTCTTTGGTACGGATTCTCCAGGTTTCTTTTATTTAAAAGTTTTATAATTACGATTTTGATTATGTCCCCACATTCGGTGTCAATGATGGTGATGATACTGGAGGATAAACGTGAGCTCTAACACATGAGTCTGCCTACAGGAGGGAGGTTGAACGTCTGGTGTCCTGGTGCAGCCACAACAACCTAGTGCTGAATGCCCAGAAGACAGTGGAGATTATTGTGGACTTCAGGAAGCACACAGCCCCACTCCCCCCATCATCCTGACTGACACCCCCATCACCTCTGTGGACTCATTCCGCTTCCTGGGTACCACCATCACCCAGGACCTGAAGTGGGAGCCCACCATCACCTCCGTCATCAAGAAAGCCCAGCAGAGGATGTACTTCCTGAGGCAGCTGAAGAAATTCAACCTGCCAACACGGACGATGATGCAGTTCTACACTGCAATCATCGAGTCCATCCTCACCTGGTGTGGTACGCTGGAGCCACTATCAGGGACAAACAGAGACTGCAGCGTGTTGTGCGCTCTGCTGAGAAGGTGATTGGCTGCAGACTCCCATCTCTGCAGGACCTGTACACCTCCAGGACACTGGGGCGTGCAGCTCGGATCTCAGCTGACCCTTCTCACCCTGGACACAGTCTGTTTGACCTGCTCCCCTCAGGCAGGAGGCTCCGGTCCATTCGCACCAGAACCTCTCGCCATAAGAACAGTTTCTTCCCCTCTGCTGTCGGACACATGAACAATAAACGTATGACTGTTCCCACCACTAACACATGACCCTACGCTGTGTTCACTGCATCATTCCATGTTTGCACTGATCACCACCTGCACTCATGTATATATCTTTCTACGTAGCACTCTTAATTCTTATTCTCATGTATATATCTCATGTATATCTCATGTATATATCTCATGTATATCTCATGCATATATCTTTCTACGTAGCACTCTTAATTCTTATTCTCATGTATATATCTCATGCATATATCTTTCTACGTAGCACTTTTAATTCTTATTCTTACTTTTATTTTTTTCATGTCTATTTAAGCGCAATTTATGACAGTATGTTTGCACTGAAGCACCGCAGCAATTTCCTGATGTTGTAAACCTGCTCAACATTTGGCAATAAAACCCTTTCTGATTCTGATTCTGATTCTGATCTGCTCAAATTTACACAGCTTTCACATCACTTCATTGTAGGGGTCGAGTTTTTCTTTATTTGTTACCTGTATATGAATCTACAGTGTTCAGTTGAGTCACATTCCAAATATGCTGTGAAAAACTCTTTTTAAACGAGTCGTGCTGGAGTCAGTCAGATGATTTCCATAGAGAGGCACTTTGCATCAGCAGCACCATGCTCCAGTGCTCTGGGAGAGTTTATAGTCCTGAGAGTTGAACACTGGATGACTGACAGCTGTCCTTCATCACAACAGAAGCCACAGAAATCCTCCTCATCAAAAACATGACTTTGATCTGCATCCTCATCTGGACTCTCCTCTGCTGCTGCTTCACAGGTAAAGTCCAGAGAATCAAACTCCTCTCCTCTATCAACATCTGTCCCTCTGAAATGAAGCCCACAAAACCATGAAGCTGCTTTATGTTTTTGTCTCTGTGTCCTCAGAGTCCAGAGGACAGATCACAGTGACTCAGCCTGGAGCAGTGAGCTCTGCTGTGGGAGGATCTGTGAGCATCAAGTGTACGACCAGTCAGGATGTTTATGGCAACAACCATTTGGCCTTGTACCAACAGAAAGATGGAGGAACTCTCAAACGCTGTATATTTTCAAACATGAACATTGTTAAAATGATTTGGTCGATGTTTCATCTTTCACTTTGTTATTCTCCTGGTCTTTCATTTGTTCAACTGTGATGCTAAAGTTCAAAAAACAAATCCCAGAATTGTTTTCAGTTAAGCTAAGCAGTGGCTTCATGTTCTAATTATCTTTAACATTACAGGGCTCTAGAATAACTTTTTGCCTTGGTTGCACTGGTGCGCCACTTTTTCAACCGCATCGCTTAACACCGCGGTTTTACATGTGCCCTTTTTTGGGGGGGAAATTGCTGTCCATACAGACAATATTGATTTGTAAATGATTAACTAACAATCTTGTTCTTGTGCTTAAAGTGCTTTGGCACTCTTTGGCCATAAGAATGCAGAGATGGCGCCAGGTGTTATGGCACACCGTCTCTCGGTTCTGCAATGTTTGTATATGGTGTTCTTAGTGGTGTCCCTGCTAGCTTGGAAAACCCACTCCCTGTTGGTGTATGAGCGACAGACGCTTTTTAACATCCGTGACTCACTGCTGATGCTCCACAGTGTTAGCGAGCGATCTGGAGGAATCCCGCCGCCGTGCCGGAGGAGCAGCTTCGCCGCGATCGCTGCTCTGCGCTTCCACAGGCCCCGCTGGTTTAGAAACTTATTCCCGTTAACGACAAGGAAGCAAGATGAACAGCAATTTTACTTGCTAGCAAGGCAGGCTGGTTGGAACCAGGCTCTTGGAGCTAAACGCTCCTCACCTGTCTGCTAGCCAGCATCAAGTAAACAGCCTTCCTTGCAGCTTTTTATTCTGAGAACACAAGCACTGTGTTTGTGTGTATGTGAGTGTGTATGTTTGTTTGGTGGTGCGTTTGTGTGACCTCCTGCTTATCAAAAGGGTCATAAAAGCAGGAAGCTTACTAACCAAGAAAACAGAACCCTCACATAGGATGTCCCTATAATGAAACACTACAGCCTCCCCCACCAACAAACAGGCTGGAGAGGTGGTCAGAGACAAAGGAATGTCTTTGACCATGCTGCTTGAACTAAGTCTTACACATTTAAGTAACACAATGACAACATTTAACAATTTGACTCCAACAGTCCCCCCTTTTTGTCAACTTTGTACTTAAATTTCCACTTATGCACCCTTGTGTTTGACAGTTCAGTATAGGCTTCATTCACACACAGCTCCTCACATCATTCACTTCCTACTGCTGCAAAAGTTCACAGTTCATACATGTACGAAACGTGCTTAGCAATTATCCTACTTCTCATTCATCTCACACACAGGAAACTACATCCTGCAAGGAAACAAATGAATGTCAACAGTCAAAAACAAGAATCAACGTTCTCAAAAGAATATGCACTACAATCCAAATGTATGCAGACATAGGCATTCAAACACATCCGTTGGTTTTTGGTTTGTCCATGTGGCTTCCAGCTATCTTCAAAGCTGTAGCCTGGTCAACACTCCTCTTTATGACCCCTTTCAAACCCCCACAGCTTCTCACTGTAGACACCCTGTGGGGTGATCGAGTCACCTGGTGAATCATCTGCATTTACAACTCCTCTCCTTTCCTGTTGTCACTGCAGAAAAAGTTTTTTAAAGGAAATTGGATCAAGTTGTTTATGATCTTCTCCCCCATTTTTGAGTCATGTCCACCCATGGCTCAAAACTCCAACCAACTTATATAAGTGTACATGATGTAAATGTAAACAAAAGAAAGCCCCTTTGACTGTCTGGCTTTTTCTTCATAATGATAGCCATATTAGGACACATAAAGGCAATGGTTATATATCTATATATTTTAGCACAAATGACAATATAAAAAATATCAATCCTAACAATGTCCATGTGTCAAAGTAACTGAGAATAAAAAACAGAAACATGAAGGAGATATTCCTGGCCTGGCTTTTTATAGCAGATAATCTTAAAACTATTTTGCAATTTTGCATAATTTTAAAAAGTTTACATTTCTTCAGTATTGAACAGCAGAAAATAGGTTTTCTTGTCCGAGGTCATTGAAGTAAAAGAAAAAAAGAAAAAAAAAGACAGAGGCTGACAGCGCTGTAAACAACGGTAGACTGGTGGGTAATAAGCGAAGGAATAACGCAGAAAACAGAGATTTGAGACGGGAAACTGTTCTTGAAGTACAGAGAGAGAGAGAGAGAGAGAGAGAGCTGTGCATGAAGTGTGATTTTTATCTTGGTGGAAACAAAACAGTAAAGTAAGAGGGAATTCATGACGATGTTTATCAGATGTGAATAGTTTGTTGCTTCTTTTGCTGCTGGTTCAGTCAATTTTGCTTGGAGAGAGACAAAACTTGCAGCTCAGAATCAGCACAAAAAAGACGTAAACAGCGCGGACCCGACGCATCAGAATCAGTGAGCTGTCGGCTTTCAGCCCGATGGCGTGTCCGTCTACGTGCCGTCGTGTGAGAAAGCAGAGAAAGCTGATTCTGATGCGTCGGGTCCCTCTGTGTGTTTACACTGTGTGTCTTTGTGTGGAATCCGTTTACCTGCTCTCATTTACTGTTTGGTGGTTGATAAAATACTTTTGTGATCTTTAACCTGAGATTCCGGCGTTTCTGGGAAAATATATTTATGTTTAAAACTCGATTTAGGATTTAATGAATCAATGTCGCTTTATTCAAGCTACTCACCTCTCTCTATCTGCCTGTACTTTCAAACGTACAGACGGACTACATGAATATCTGAACTACGACCAATCAGAGAGGTCCCACCCCTGATTATCTCTGATTGGTTTAGACCACGATAGGAGCATAATGTGTGTCGGTTGTTGACCACAGGGAGAGTTTCAGAGTTGCAGAGAGTGTTTTTTTATTTATTTATTTTACTCGAATAGTTGGTCGTACCGCTGCGACCTGAGATTATTTTTAATCGCACTTGCGACCAAATTGGTTGCACTCTACAGCCCTGCATTACATTTAATTTTTCTAACTTAGCTTTGCTCCAGTGGTAATTAGAGTGAAAGGACTTGAAAATCAAAGTTTTACTCGTCTCTGTAAAACAAATTATTCATACCACCTTTACTTAACAGGAGCTTTACTGTGATAGTTTTAATACATTCTTCTATATTTAGTATGGTTTTAATATTTTCGTATTTTAAATTACGCAGGATATATGATAAAACAATAATTTACTTGCAAAGAGTTTTAATTTCTACACAAATACTTTCATTATGTGGAAAAAAAGTATTTGAGATGGAATTGTTTTATTTGATCTGAGAACAAAAATAAATTGTTCATTGTTAATTTATTTAGATCATATAAACAATATACAGGTACATTTAGCAAAGAAAGTAAGAGAGAAAAAATACTACAGACGGGCATCTGAGGGTGAGCGGAGCGTGCCAAGCTCCAATCGACAGCACAGAGGGAGTTCAATTATGGCATCATGATTCTGTGAGCAGCACAGAAACCAGAAGCTAGGGTGGTGATGGGGAATGACCGACGGCAATTTCCTAAGAACATCACCTAATGCTGTGTCACTGTGCTAAGCATACTTTGACAATCTGAAGAGGGTCTTCCTTTGTGTCATTGTTGTTGTCATTTGCATCATGACCACTTCTACAAGACTGCTAAAGTGATTCAACAGGTGGGATCATAACAGCAGTAAAACAACTGGCTCCAATACCCTTTCCGAGAAAGGTTTTCTGCAGAGATAAAAAGGACAATAGAGGAGTCCTAAGTATTCCCCCCACAGGAAGAATGCCTGAAATGAGGCGATGAGGGTTGATAGAGGCCATAAAAAAGGGGCTCTATCATGTAATCATATATGCTTAGAGGTATCAATTGTATAATGATAGAGGTCTGATCATTGGTAGTCTGCAAAGACTCTTCCAGAGTGTTCTGGCATGCACACACATCCTAAGGTCATGAGTGAGGTCGTACCTTCTTTATATAGTATGGGAGGACACCTACTCTGTATCTGTTTAAGTATAAGAGCCTTTTGTTTAGGTGGACCGCTGGACTCCTGGCACCAGCTTACACACACACACACACACACACACACACACACACACACACACACACACACACACACACACACACACACAATTCCCAATAAAAGGCAGCAAGCGGAGGCCGTCGTTGGGGTCATTTTGTGGTAGACACCGACGAGGCCTCCATTGCAAATAAATCGATCGATCGCTGACTGTCTCGTTTTCTTCATGATGAATTAGTCTCTAAACCAGCGGGGCTTGTGGAAACACAGACCCAACAACACCCAGGTAGAAGACGAGTATTAATAACTGACTGCACACTTATTTCCACACTGTCATCCTCGAGTAGGTGAGAGGGAACGATGTCTTGCCCCAAAGACATTTTGTAGGTTTGGTGGCTCCTTAGAGTACGAGCACCTGGATGACTGAGAGCCTTCACAGATCTATTTTCAAGCTGAGCTCAAAGGTCATAGCCAAGCTTTTTTCAATACACTGCTCAGCTTTCTTTATCATAATCGTACACATCATGGTTTTGGGAGCTTCATTTCAGAGAAATAATTTTTGCAAGATGAGAGATTGTTTCTCGAGACTTTCTCCAACTTTTCCTTGCTGTGCAAAAAATGATGGTATTTGTTTAAGAGATCTACAGTGTGTGTGTGTGTGTGTGTGTGTGTGTGTGTGTGTGTGTGTGTGTGTCCTCAGTGAACTGTATCAGTCTCTGCAGTATCTTCCAGCTGCAGCAGTCACTTCAGTTTCTGTTCAGTCTGACTGAGGGAGGTTTTTGTACGACTGTTTTTCACTGTGTGCTCACCCACAGACTGTTAGGATAGTGCCAACACATACAGTAATAAACTGCTGCATCTTCAGCCTGGACTCCACTGATGGTCAGAGTGAAGTCAGAGTTTGATCCACTGCCTGTAAAACGAGCTGGAATCCCTGATACTCGAGTGCTAGCAGAGTAAATGAGACGTTTGGGAACTCCTCCATCTTTCTGTTGGTACCAGGCCAAATGGTTGTTGCCATAAACATCCTGACTGGTCGTACACTTGATGCTCACAGTTGCTCCCACAGCAGAGCTCACTGCTCCAGGCTGAGTCACTGTGATCTGTCCTCTGGACTCTGAGGACACAGAGACAAAAACATAAAGCAGCTTCATGGTTTTGTGGGCTTCATTTCAGAGGGACAGATGTTGATAGAGGAGAGGAGTTTGATTCTCTGGACTTTACCTGTGAAGCAGCAGCAGAGGAGAGTCCAGATGAGGACGCAGATCAAAGTCATGTTTTTGATGAGGAGGATTTCTGTGGCTTCTGTTGTGATGAAGGACAGCTGTCAGTCATCCAGTGTTCAACTCTCAGGACTATAAACTCTCCCAGAGCACTGGAGCATGGTGCTGCTGATGCAAAGTGCCTCTCTATGGAAATGATCTGACTGACAGAAACATGCAAGTTAGAATAGAATAGAAAGCCTTTTTTTGTCACTATAAAGTTGTACAAAGAGATACAGAGAAAATGAGACAAAGACACAAAGTTGCAGGGGGAGAAGTGCCAGAAACACATTATATTAGATTAATATTTCAAACATGACAAAATGCTAATCTTACAGCAGCTGCTGTGTTTGTTGCATCATATTGCTGTAATTGTTTATATGCTTTATATATTCTGAGCTAAGTTGATCTATAGTGTTACATCATATTCTATAAGGATGTTATGTGTTTGTTTACTTTCTGCCCAGTTTGACCCATTTAGCAGAAGTCAGCCTGTTTAAGGCTCTAATATCTATTCTGTATGACTTAAAGCAGTTATGACATGGTCTGATTTTCTCACCCAATAAAGGAATATTTCATATATCAGTCTACTCTTCATTTTATCAGACACAGTTTTCACAGCTCGTACATTTTCCTTTTCACACATGTATGTAAGCATTGAGCCAAATGTAATAATGCCAACATATTAAACGAACAATATTTGTCTCTTATGTATAATACATCTGTATATACACTTTTGAGTGAAGATTTAAGGTGATAGAAAATATAAACTGCAACTTGAATCTTTCAAGTTCAAGCTCACTGCTGTAATATATGTATATATATACACACAAAGACATTTGTGTGTATATATATATTTCCAGTCCTCAGATACTCAACTAATCAAAGTGATGTCATGACAAAAATGAATGACCAACAAGACATTTTTCCTCCTTCATTTCTGTCACACAAAGCTGTATGAAATGTTTCTCGCGGTTAGCATCATGGTTGCTAGGCAACCTGAACAGCGCGACGCAGGCTAGACCATCCCATTTCACAAGCCTCTCACTTCCGCACTTCTCGTACTCATAGTACGCACCGTACGCAGTACACGTAGTGCGCGTACTTCAAGCTTGCAGACCCTGAATTGGGACACAGCCACGGACTTTACACAGAGACCTGACTGAACTGGAACAGAGGGAGCATGGGAACCAAACCTAGGAACTAGAAATCATAGCAAAAGACATAACCAGAATAACCTAAAGCATAAGATAATAATAATTAACACAAAACACTGGGTCACATGACCCAGGACCATGACACTTATAGCACTAGAATTAAATAATAAGGGAAGGATTCTGGATCAGCATCATGATGAAAACTTGTGGCCGTAGTATATACAGTATTCTGGAGAAGGTATAAAATGTCACCGTATGTGTGTGTGTGTGTGTGTTTTATGTGTATGGATTTTTTAAATTATTACTCATCATATATTACTGTCTATTAAAGTCCTGTAGTAATTTGTCCATCAGCCTTTGGAAGGTGGCCGGTGCCCCATCTAGGCCAAATGGCATCACCGTGAACTGGAACAGGCCGGCAGGTGTCCTGAAGGCGGTGTGCGGTCGAGAAGACTCCTCCAGTGGCACTTGCCAGTAACCTTTGCAAAGATCCAAGGTGGTGATGTACCTGGCCGCTCCGATCTTCTCCAGCAAATCCTCGGTTCGAGGCATGGGGTAGGCATCAAACTCTGAAATGGAATTAAGCTTCCGGAAATCAATGCAGATGCGTAGGGAGCCATCTTTGAAGATGATGACCACCGGGCTACACCACTCTGAGCAGGACGGCTCTATCACCCCAAGCTCCAGCATCTTCTCCACCTCCTGTCGCAGTTTATCCACTAGGTGTTGTGGAACCCGGTATGGACGTTGGAGGATGGGATGTCCATCCTTTAGGCGTATCACATGTTCGACAAGGGTGGTCCTGCCGGGGTTAACTGAACACAGAGATGAAGTCTCCCAAAGGACTTGGAATAGCTCAGCAGCCTGCTGTGGGGTAAGATGAGTCAGCACCGGAGACATCGGATCGGCTCCCTGCTCGGGTTCTGTCTTCCCTTCTCTTGGCATTTCTCTTGCCATCAGAGCTTTCGCAGGGGCCTGGTGGGCACGCTCTTCCCATTCTTTCAGGAGATTCACATGGTAAGTCTGCTTCGGTTTCCTCTTTTCAGGATGATGAATCTCATAGGTCACTGGCCCCATTCTGCGAAGAACTGTGTATGGCCCTTGCCATTTCGCCAGAAGTTTACTGTTGGCTGACGGGAGAAGTAACAACACCTTTTGACCAGGTTGAAATTCACGTTGCCGGGCCTGTTGGTCATACCAGGTCTTCTGGCTTCGTTGAGCGTCTCGCAGGTTGACCTCTCCATGGTATCTCCCCAACCGATCTCTCATTTCCAGCACAAATTGCACCACTCCTTTATCATTTGGAGCAGAAGCAGGAGACTCCCAACCCTTCCGGAGGAGATCCAATGGCCCCTGCACATCCCAACCATAGAGTAGCTCGAATGGTGAGAAACCAGTGGAAGCCTGGGGAACTTCTCTGTACACAAACAGCAGGAAGGGTAGCCACTGGTCCCAGTCTTTCCCAGTGTCTGACACAAACTTCTGCAGCATCCTCTTCAGAGTTTGGTTGAACCTCTCCACTAACCCATCTGTCTGTGTATGGTAGGGTGACGTCCTGATGGCAGAGATGCCTAGCTGGTTGTGGAAGAGCTGCATCAACCTAGAGGTAAAGTTAGTCCCTTGGTCGGTCAAAATCTCATCTGGTATCCCCACCCGGGAGAACAGCTGTACCAGTGCACGCAGAACATTGGGTGCCATGAGCGCACACAGGGGGAACGCTTCTGGGAAATGAGTCGCATAATCACACACCACCAAAATGTACTGATGACCCCGACTACTTTTTACCAGAGGACCCACAATGTCCATAGCTATCCTACGGAAGGGGGTGGAGATGACCGGAAGTGGCTGTGGCAGGGCCCTGTCTGACTTGCGAGCTGGACAAGTTTTCTGGCAGGTAGGGCATGTACGGCAATATTTTTGTATGTCTGTGTACATTGATGGCCAAAAGAAACGTGAGCTAACTCACATATAGGTTTTTTGGCGACGCAGATGACCTGCCCAGGGGAGGGTATGTGCTAATTGCATAATGAGGGGTCTACAACTAGAAGGTATCACAAGCCGTTGGTGGTCACCGTCAACTGCATACAACACATTTTTGTCAACAATGAACTTCTCTTTCCCTCCCCATTTCCCAGTTCCCCCTTCAGTCACATTAGCAAAGAAAACTTTCAACGTTTCATCCTCCCTTTGCAACAAAGTGATATTTTCTGGTACATCCCATTTCATGCTCTTAGTGTCCGGCCCCTTTGACCATAGCTGCTTCTCAATGCGGCGTTGGCGGCGGGATTTTCTTGGCCCATTAGTGCCACCCTCGCACAGACTACTGTCAAAGTCTGGCAAGGGTTGGCATCCAGCCTTCATTTGGGCTCTAGTGACCACTGGGCCAGACACGTTTAATTTAGTATTCCCCTTATCCCCCACATCAGTCTCTGTCCACTGTTCTTCTTTTTCTTGCAGCAAGTCCATGAGTACAGGCAAGTCCATCCCCAGAATAACCTCTACAGGCAAGTTCTGTACCACCCCAACTGACAACAGGTATGGCTGTTCATTAATAGTCACTGTTACCTCCACTTTTGGGTATGGATGTTTATCGCCATGCACACATAAAACTTCTTCCTGTCTGCTATAGTCCACACTGTTCACTGGTACCAAACTATGCTTAATTAAAGACATAAAACTACCAGTGTCCAGCAAAGCAGTAGCCTGCAGACCATTGACCTTTACTTTTTTATAGCGTTGCACATCCACTGGCTGGACCCTTGTGGGCTCCATCTCCAGCCGGGGTGCATAGCATGCACCAGTGACTTTAGCCTTCCGGATAGGGCATACCGAGGCTTTATGACCTGGCTGCTGGCAATAATAACAAAGAAAGTCCTTACCCGCTCCTCGTAAGTTTGATGCCTTGGGGTTTTCTGGTGGCTCTGGGTTGCATTCCCTTTTCAGAAGACCCGATGATGGGAGTGGTGGTCGCTGTGGCATCCCAGATGAGCGTGCAGGTGGTGCTCCTTTACGCGCATTGAAGTACTGTGACACCAGCTTAGCAGCGGTCAGTCCATCTGCTGGCTCATGCTCCCTCACCCAGGTCCTCACCTCCCCTGGAAGTACCTGGATTAACTGCTCCAAGATGATAGCTTCTCCCATCTCTTCTTTAGTATGCTGCTCTGGTCGGATCCAACGCCGATAGAGGCCCTTCAGGCGATAATAGGTCTCAGTGGGGCTCTCACCAGGTGGAACTGTATTGGACCGGAACCTCTGCCGATACGTCTCAGGGGAAATGTCAAATTTGGTTAGCAACGCCGCTTTTAAATCTTCATAACGATGGGCTCTTTCTTCATCCATTGCAGTGTAGGCCTCCAACGCCTTCCCCAATAGCAGTGGAACCAGACGACAGGCCCATTCACTCTCTGGCCATCTACAGGTTTTGGCAACTCGCTCAAAACGCAACAAATAGTTCTCAATGTCTTCCCCCATCTGATAGGGTGGAATTTTTGGCCCAACAGATCGCATCCACTCTGAGACTGACTGGTCGAGGCTGTTGGTCACTGCTTGTGACTGACGAGAGGGAACCTCCTCTGGGGGATCCCGGTATCCTCTTTGACGTGCAGGTGTAGGCAGTACCATTCTGGGGCTGCTTGCTGTTGCGGTGCTTGGCGTGGCCGTTGCTGCTGTGGTGCTTGCTCCGGCTGGTGCTTGGGCTGGACTTTGCTGACCAGCAAAATCTGAATGCAGCTGAGCGTTGGGAGGGGAAACAGTCCTCAGCCCCCTGAGTTCTGCCAAAAAAACCTCCTCTCTCCTTTGCTGTCCCGCCAGGAAGTCCCTCATCATCGCAATCAGCTCTCCATTTGGGTCACGTGCTGAGGTCGAAGCTGTAGGCAATTCTGGACCAATCCTGCCGGAAACCTCCTCCTCCTCCTCTGCTGAAGAAGACGACGCCGGCACTGTGTCCCATGCCAGCTCCTCTGCTGTCTTCTCCACTGGAAGCTCATGCTGCTGGGACCGCAGCCCTGTGCGCTTAACTGGGAGGCGCGTTTTCCTCTTCCGACTAGCAATCCCACTTCTGACACCATATGTCGCAGGGTCCTCTCCTAAACTTCTCCCGAACAAATGCAGGCGTAGTCAGGAAGCATTCAGTGTGGATAATTTATTCTGCCGGCCTCCCAGGTGCACAAAAGATTATTTACAAAGAAAATAGGAAACTAACTTAAGTCAACACAAAACAAACATCTATATACAAAACACAGTCTGCATGTTACCCTCTCTGTAACATCTCACTGAAAGAACCCAGGTAGGCCCTGACAGCCTTCTTTTATACCCCATGGCCCCTCCCACTAGGCATAATAGTCATCTCTTTATTATTTCTTTCACCAAACAATCTTTCCCCCTCAGCTTATTTCCAGCTGTATTCCTACAATACATATATGTATATACAGACATTTATGGCCAATTCCAGGCAGCCTACAGTGTTTCACAACAACAAAAAAACAAACAAAAAAAATAATGCAGTTCACGTGACCTTTCAAGCGTGCGCGAACCCACTATTTGAACCCGAGAACACCATACCATCGGCTTGCATAACCCCCGTACAATCGGCGATCACAGCGAGTCTCCGCGACCGGCTTTATTAAAGGTAAGTGGGAAAATATGTTGGCCACCTTCTGCGCTGCTCAAAATATACCTCTCACCCCTTTTTGTTTATCTGCCCGGTCGACAAAAAGACGCGCAGTAATTGTAGAAACTAATGGTGGTGGTGCGTGTATGCGCCCAGATCAGCTGTCTGCGGCCCGGGACGGTGTAACTCCGTCACAACAGGTAACAATAACGCCTGTACCAGTTGTTGTATAGCAGAGGTGCTCAAGTATAAAAACAATAATAAACACAATGCTTTGGTTCTATAACATTTTTCTATCATTACTTTATTTTGGATTAGGTGCATGAGCTTTTAAGTATGGATAATTAAATAATAGATTAATGAAACACCAGAGTGTGCCCTGTTCTGAGATGTACAGCAAGTGGAGAGTGACAGATGAGATGAGGAGATGGAAGAGTGACTCACAGGCAGAGCCGAGTTCATTTCCCACAGTTTTGTGGTTTAATGCTTCTGAGCGCTGTCACCAATCTTTGCATTTTATTATCATCTCATAACACTTCTTTAATCAGCTACCATCTCTGCTGTGGACTTTTTACTGTCTACAGTCTCAAAGCAACACAGACCTCCATCACTATCTGCAGCAGGAGCAGCAGCAACCCCTCAACAGCAACAGTGTTGTTGTTATTCAGCCTGGTTCTATGTGCCCTTTTGAACTTTGAGCACCCGTCCCTTCCAGCATCTCTGCACGGCCCTGCTCAGAATCATCATCTGTTTTAGGTTGACATTTTATATGTTTTGTAGAATAACAGGACAAACTGTGAGACTGGAAAGACTTGAGCTTCATGCTCTGTTTTGTGACGTAGTGTGCAATGCTCAGCAGTATTATCATTTTAACTGGTTCTGTGCGCGATCTGAAGACACTAAGTGTTTGTGAGAGAACATAAAACTGTTTTGATGCATTTGTGAGGTTTTACCTGATGAGTTTTAAGTTTTGTGATTGTAGCTTGAAAATTAATTTTAATGTTTAGAGTTATGATAAAGAAGGTGGAAGCATTAAAGTGATGTATCTTAACAGTTGTAAAATGTAAATGACCAAATTGGATTATTGGAATATAGTTTTATTGTGTTTCGTTGTTTTTTATGTAAAAATTATAATATTAATATGTTATGAAATTATGATTTAAAGAATTCATATTGTTGAGTTTGTTTGTTTCAGAGTCAGAGAGCCGTGTCTCTCTACAGTCAGAGGTTTTTGTACGGCGGCTCAATGAGTTTGTATCACTGTGGTGGACTTTTGGTGGAGGAACCAGACTGCAAGTTGGAAGTAAGTCAGCCGTAGAGCTTTTTTTTTTTAAATGTAATTTTCTTTTCTTTAATTTCATTTAATATGAAAGGCTAGGAAACTTTTTATGTAACTGATTAATTATTTTATTCATAAATTTTGTCCTAAGAAACAAAGTCAGCTTTGGAAATTATTATTCAGACACTCAGGACAATTTACAATGAAAATCTGGGATGTTTCATAGTATTAATTATTATTTGTAGTTCTGATGGTAAAGTTGTATTTTGAGGGCTTGTAGGTTTAGTTCAGTCACACAGAGAGCCGTGTCTCTCTACAGTCAGAGGTTTTTGTACGGCGCCTCAATGAGTTTGTATCACTGTGGTGGACTTTTGGTGGAGGAACCAGACTGCAAGTTGGAAGTAAGTCAAACTTAAACCTCATTTACTTTAGCAAATTTCTTTCTTTTGATTATCTTAACTTTTCTGTTCAATGCACCTAAAAAAACCTCAGGAAAATAGTTTTTAGATAAATTTTCATGAAGAAACAAAGTTAGCTTCAGAATAAATGTTAAAATGAATATTAAACACAATATAAAACATCAGAGTGGACTTGAGGATATTTTACATATACATACATCTGGTTAAGTCTCGAGAGCTTTTAGTTTTAATCCAGTCTGACAGAGTCAGAGAGCCGTGTCTCTCTACAGTCAGAGGTTTTTGTACGGCGGCTCAATGAGTTTGTATCACTGTGGTGGACTTTTGGTGGAGGAACCAGACTGCAAGTTGGAAGTAAGTCAGACTTAGAGCTTTTTTTTTTTAAATGTAATTTTCTTTTCTTTTCTTTAATTTCATTTAATATGAAAGGCTAGGAAACTTTTTGTGTAACTGATTAATTATTTTATTCATAAATTTTGTCCTAAGAAACAAAGTCAGCTTTGGAAATGAATATTCAGACACTCAGGACAATTTCCAATGAAAAAAGTTAAACTGCACAGAGTGAAGATAAAGATCTCTGGTGTTCTTATTGTATCATATCATTTACAACAATGTAAGCAATAAAAAAAACACATGAGGTAAGTAGTGGTATTGAGTTTCTTATCCAGAACAAGCTGTTTATTATGAAGAACTGATGATGTTGAAGCTTAACATCTTTTAAAATTGTTGACACATCTTTGTTTTGTTTTTTTGTTTTTTTATTTCCAGTGTAGTTTGAACATATTTCAGCTCAAACTGTGTGATGATTCTCTCTGTGCTGATATGCATGAGAGGTTTCTGAAAGGGAAGTGAAACAATGTGTGAGTGAATGACTGGTGGAGCAGAAAAAACACCTGACAGAAACGTCTTAACGGAGAAATTCAAATTGTGGTTCCTGTCCTCTAAGCTGATTGGTGTTTCCTAGGTGATGCCCGCCCCGCCCTGAAGGTGCTGGGTCCCTCCAGTGAGGAGCTGAAACAGGGGAAGGCTACAGTCATGTGTGTGGCCAACAAGGGCTTCCCCTCAGACTGGAGTCTGTCCTGGAAGGTGGATGGCAGTGGCAGCATCAGCTGGGAGGAGAGCAGGAGCCCCGTGGTGCAGGAGAACGACGGCCTCTACAGCTGGAGCAGCACCCTGAGGCTCCCTGCAGACCACTGGATGAAGGTGGGCTCTGTGACCTGTGAGGCCACCCAGGGCTCCCACACTGTGGTCTCAGAGCCACTGATGAGAGACCAGTGTCCCCAGTCCTGACCTGACTAACTGTGACTTTCATGCTGGTCTTACTTTCAGTCTGCACTCTGTAGCTTTAAAAAAAAAAATCGAATTTCTTCTCTCATTTTTCATTGCTTTGTTTAAAGTTTAAAGTTTGTTTAAAGTTTTAAAGAATAAAAAATATCTATATTAAATAAGAATTGAGTGTTTGTCTTACTTTTGTGGTGATGTCAATATTAAACTCTAAATAATGATTTCCAGGGTTCTAATTGGAAGCCAGTGTGCTATCTGTAGTCAATATGAGTCGGTAGAATTAAGTCACTTTCAATACATGAAGTAAAGCAAAGTTTATGTTAAAGAGTAAGTGCGAAGGGGAATTGAGAGACACTGCCATTACTAAGCAGGATATTAAAGACATTACATTTATGCAAATTCATTGCATGCTGTGTAATGAAATGTTTCAGCATGTTGCAGTTTGTTGTATGAAACACTGAGCAGGTGAAGCAGAAAAGCGCTGTACAAGAATGAGTCTATTCTCGTGATCAGTGTTGGGGTAGGTATTTTAAGAAGTCATTTAATATACAGAGTTTTTTGTTAAAAGTATTCAGTACGTTATTTTGCTGTTTTTTTTTCTGTAAAATCACCTGAAACACAACATGTCATAACTGTCATTGAACAATATGAACTTGTAGGCTACAGTCTCTCACACCAACATAAATCCCTATCCTAACGACGACACACATATTTTCTTTCTCTTGGCATTTAGGTATATAAATACCTGTCAAGGGTCCTTGACATACAGGTCTCCGACTCGGAGGACAAAAATTAATGTCCTGTGTCTTAGGAGGGCAGGATTGCTTTGCTTTTTCTTTATACGATGCTTCGCAGTATTAGTTTTGCCTAACAACCTGTTTTTGACTCCTAAATTGTCATTAATGCAACCGCTCTACATAACAGTCAGTGTAACTGATTATAAATCTTTTATTCATGAACCTACACATTACGCTTTATTTACTAGTTGTATGTATTTTAACAGAGCAAGAGGTGGACCACACGTTTGAAGAGCTGCTGGTCTTTATAACTGGGGCTGACTTACTTCCACCACTGGGGTCCTGCAACATAGACTTTTATGATCAGGAGTCGTGGATACGCATCAATGTGCAGCTTATCCCTGTATCTTCCGAGACGTGTTGCATACGAGGATCAATTTAAAGATCTTATGAACACTGCATTAAAAGCATTCCTGGGATTTGGAAAGCTGTAGCTGCATTTACATGAACTGATGCTGGAAAGCTGTGGTTGAAACCTGTGGCCTTTTGGGAGGAAGTTGTGCTATTCTAAGTGTTCTTAAATGGGATTGCTCCTGGGCTTCTTCAAAATTGTACATTTTAAAAGTGTTTAGTATAAAGGTTTTTTGTTCTTACAAATGTGACTGTATATAGTTATATTTATAGTCCCGTTAAGACAGGTGGGGTATGCATGCAACAAGCCATGCACCAAAAAGTGATGCTCAGAAAATGCTTCAAGTATTGGAAGGAAAAAAACAATTCATCTAGAAATGTTCTTTTGAAAGGTTGTTGTGCAGTCATGTTTAAGTATTCGGTTATAATATACTGCATAGTTTCTTGTTGCTGCGTTGTGTTTGTGTTGTTGTTTTAAATGTGCAATAGCTGCCTAACAAACTTTGAACTGAAAGACGCTGACTTTTGTAAAATAAAAGTATTGTAATGTCAGTTCTCATGGTGTCTCTTTACCAATTAAAGTTGAGGCTCACCTGTTACTGTCAAATACTGGTGTTGGGATCCACTGACGAGGGCTGTTCAGTACACAGGTAAGTGCTTAAGTCGAGGTAAACGGTTCAATAAATTTACCTTCATCTGTTCTCAAACTGAGAGCTCAAGATTCCATCTCAACTCAATTTGTTCAACTGCTTTCAGGAACAAAGCAGTTTTAACTCCTAAGTTTAAAGTCAGAGTTGGTTAACTCTGAGATTGGCAGCTGACCTTTGACTATAACCTGTTTAAATATTAATAACTCAATTTGAGGAATGTGAACATGTGTCAGTGCTATTATTAGAACACATACTAATATACACAGAGGGTAACGAGGGAATACACCACAGAAGGCAGACACAGCTGAACCTCATCAGACATGACGAATACACTCACACAGAACGCAGAATCCAAATAAAACAGAAAACCAGAGAATAGCTCTGAGACACGGGTTGACAGAACATAAGGAACAGAGGGACGAAGAAATGCGACTGGAAAACAGAAAATAAATGAAACGAATCATATTAATAATCAAAAACATGAATAGGAAGTCAACAGGTCTTTGTACCGTGGCAGTGTTGAACAGCAAAAAAGAGAAAATCTAAAAACCTGAGAAAGTAAAGATGGAAATTTGATCATTTGACTGATTTGGACTTAAAGTTTCTATTTGAAGTATTTGCTAAATTGTGCAGATAATTATGACTCACTGACTTTTGCTGACTTCATTTAGTGTTAGATTTTTTTTCTTACAGAAATATGATTTTTGATAATGATCGATATTTAGAAATTGAGATTTATTTGAGCTGGTATGAAGCAGAGGTCAAAGGTCATAAATGATTTGTTAAAAATAAATGATATATTTCCAACTTTCTTTTCCTTTAGCAACAATGACATTTTCACTCTGTGTGTGTGTGTGTGTGTGTGTGTGTGTGTGTGTGTGTGTGTGTGTGTGTGTGTGTGTGTGTGTGTGTGTGTGTGTGTGTGTCCTCAGTGAACTGTATCAGTCTCTGCAGTATCTTCCAGCTGCAGCAGTCACTTCAGTTTCTGTTCAGTCTGACTGAGGGAGGTTTTTGTACGATTGTTTTTCACTGTGTGAACACATCCTGATTGTTAGGATAGTGAAAACTCTGACAGTAATAAACTGCTGCATCTTCAGCCTGGACTCCACTGATGATCAGACTGAAGTCAGAGTTTGATCCACTGCCTGTAAAACGATCTGGAATCCCTGATATTCGCTCATATGCACGCTTAATGAGCAGTTTGGGAACGTCTCCATCACCCTGTTGGTACCAGGCTAAAATATGGTTGTTGCTATGAACATAAACATCCTGACTGGTCGTACACTTGATGCTCACAGTTCCTCCCACAGCAGAGCTCACTGCTCCAGGCTGAGTCACTGTGATCTGTCCTCTGGACTCTGAGGACACAGAGACAAAAACATAAAGCAGCTTCATGGTTTTGTGGGCTTCATTTCAGAGGGACAGATGTTGATAGAGGAGAGGAGTTTGATTCTCTGGACTTTACCTGTGAAGCAGCAGCAGAGGAGAGTCCAGATGAGGACGCAGATCAAAGTCATGTTTTTGATGAGGAGGATTTCTGTGGCTTCTGTTGTGATGAAGGACAGCTGTCAGTCATCCAGTGTTCAACTCTCAGGACTATAAACTCTCCCAGAGCACTGGAGCATGGTGCTGCTGATGCAAAGTGCCTCTATGGAAATCATCTGACTGACTTCAACAGGATTTCATCACAAGCAGTCATCACAATGTGAATTCACAGGTGTCATTCCGATCAGTCAACATGGTTTGAGAGTTATTTGTAAAATCATCTAAATGATATGATTCATATTTATTCAGAAAAGTATATTTTAACATCCCCTGGTCTAGTTTTGTTTTGGTTGCTGTGGCTCTAAGTCAGCACAGACTTGGATCAGTCAAATAATGCTGTTTAGTAATGGATCAATCAAATTAACATTTTACTGAAATTCAAAGTAAGTTCTCTAAATTTGGTCCTGTATTGGAGCAGATAACATGTGGACGTCTTTGCCACAAGGATACTCCTCTTTTTACTTATTTTTTTCAGAGGCTCAAAAATAACTGACCAATTGAGGACGAATGAGGACAGAATTCAGAGTTTAAGGGAAAAAACTCTACCACAGCTTAATTTTGAGTACTTTACACGTCATATTCATTAGTCTAAAATACTCTCTAAGGGGGAAATGGACTGGTTTTTCTATAGTGCTTTTCTGCTCATTCACCCATAAAGAAATACAAGAACAATTTGTATGCTTTTCCTACTGGAATGCTTTCTATACAACATTCAAACACATTTAGACTGAGATGGATGCATTGGATGGATGCTTCTGAGCTACAGTAGCCCCAGGTGGCTGTATCATAGTCTAAGTCTACTACCAAGAGATCAAGAGTCATCTTCATGAAAGGAAACTCTTACCAGTTACAAACTGCTGGTTACACTCAAGAACTGGAAGACTGGATTAGACTTTGCCAGAAAAACACAGAAAAATCAGGAACAGTTCCAAGATGAAGTTTTATCAGCATAATTAGAAAAGAAAATGATGAAGAAGGAAAACTGATCTGAAGCATATCACATCATCTGTCAAAGATTTTGGAGCCAATGTTACTCATTGGAGTAGTTGGAAAGTCATTGGACAGCACTTCACAGTGCAAATAGATAATGACCCAAAGAACACTGACAACCCAAGACTTTCTCAGGTGAAGAAATGGTCAAGTCACCTTTTTTTTGGTCTCCTATTATTAAATAGCCACAAGGCTCAAAATGTGGGTTTAGTGTAAGGGATACAGTTAATTTAAGATTTAAGCTAGGTGTTAGAGTTCAGGATTCATTTTTAAGGTTAGGGTAAGAGGCTGGGGAAAGCATTATGTCAACTAGATGTCCTCACTAAGGTATAAAAAGCATTTATTTGTGTGTGTGTGTGTGTGTGTGTGTGTGTGTGTGTGTGTGTGTGTGTGTGTGTGTGTGTGTGTGTGTGTGTGTGTGTGTGTGTGTGTGTGTGTGTGTGTGTGTGTGTGTCCTCAGTGAACTGTATCAGTCTCTGCAGTATCTTCCAGCTGCAGCAGTCACTTCAGTTTCTGTTCAGTCTGACTGAGGGAGGTTTTTGTACGACTGTTTTTCACTGTGTGAACACCCACTGACTGTTAGGATTGTGTTCACTCTGACAGTAATAAACTGCTGCATCTTCAGCCTGGACTCCACTGATGGTCAGAGTGAAGTCAGAGTTTGATCCACTGCCTGTAAAACGAGCTGGAATCCCTGAATATCGAGTGCTAGCAAGGTAAATGAGCAGTTTAGGAACTCCTCCATCTTTTTGTTGGTACCAGGCTAAATAGTTGTTGTTATAAACATCCTGACTGGTCG